CTTTACAATAGCCAAAATCTGGAAAAAACCTGAGTGCCCGAGAACAGATGACTGGTTAAAGAAGCTTTGGTACATTTACACAATGGAGTATTATGTAGCTGTTAGAAAAGATGAAGTTATGAAATTTACATACAAGTGGTACTACATGGAAAGTATCATGTTAAGCGAAATGAGTCAGAAAGAGCGGGATAGACACAGAAAGATTGCATTCATCTGGGGAACATAAAGCAACAAAACGGGAGACTAACACCCAGGAAGGGCTCAGATTAGTACCAGGAATTTTGCTCCATGACTTGAAGGCCAGCCACATGTGCTAGGTGAGAAGGAAGCTCAGATAGAGAAGAGAGCACCAAATAAAGGGTGTTGTGAAGACCCTCCCAGAGTGGGAGAGACATGCTAAAAGTAGTCTATAGACCAAACATGACTGCCACTCAATGCCTCTCTGGCAAAACACAGTACCCAAAAGAAGAGAGAGAGAACAGGGAGGAATGCCCTGCCACAGCGGCAGGGTGGGACGGGGGGGGGGGGGGGGAGGATGGGGGGTCGGAGGGATGATAGGACCCGTGGTGGGGGAGGATGGGCACTGGTGGAGGGATGGGTACTTGATCATTGTATAACTGAAACCCAAGCACAAAAATTTGTGAGTCTATAAGTATACTTCATGGTGTTTCACTAATAAAAAAAAATGATAAATAAAAAAAAAAAAACTGGTGCCTTATATGACTCACCCTAGCTCCCGCAACTGTAGAGGGCTAAGTTGCATCTGGAACTCAACTCTCCTAAGTTGATCTGGAGAAATAGTTCAACAAGCTAAGCACATGCTTTGCGCAGGAAGTTCAGGTTCAGAGTGTGACCCCCCTCCCCCCCCCCCCCTCCAGCATGGAGCTGGTGACCACCACCACTAGAACACAGATCACACAGAAACAAATAAAACTGAATTTCTCAACTTGCGTTTCAATGCTTTCTACCTCAATCGACCGTTGCTATATGTTAAATCATACGCTTAAATCAATTTCTCTAGATGTTAAATCGACTTTTCTCTCTTGCAGTTTCACGTCTATGCTTTAGGAATGTCTCGTTTTATATTCTTACATATTTAACTTGTTGTTACTGTGTTTGGCATATCGAATACGTCACGGGTAGCTTGCCAGGCTTTGCCTTGCAGACGAGATACTCTCAGTAGCTTGCCGGGCTCTCGGGGAGGGGTGAAGGAATTGAACCCGGGTCAATCAAACATAATAACAACAAGTCTCACAATGGAGACGTTACTGGGCCCGCTCGAGCAAATCAATGAACAACGGGATGACGGTGGACAGTGGACATATTTACCTAATTAATGAAAATAAATATGCGACTTTGTATATGATTCTGTAAGACTAACGTTATCGTAGCAAAAATATCTACATAAATCCTGTAAACTAATGAGGACTCTAGTAGAACTGTTTGAGCTTTTGCCCAGACATTCTTTAATGTCTTTTTAAGAATATCTAACAAGCAGAATTTTGTTGTATTTTAAGTTCCAATTTTGCTCTTAGGGAAAACAGAGTTTGAGAAGGATGAAATAAATAGAGGGGCTGGAGCAATAGCACAGCGGGTAGGGCGTTTGCCTTGCATGCGGCCAACCCAGGTTCAATTCCCAGCATCCCATATGGTCCCCTGAGCACTGCCAGGGGTGATTCCTGAGTGCAGAGCCAGGAGTAACCTCTGTGCATTGCTGGGTGTGACCCAAAAAGCAAAAAAATAAATAATAATAATAAATAGAATATAAAGATTAAAAACATTAAAAATAAAAATTCTAAGTGCACTTAGATGAAATTTCTAATTAATCCTAATAAACGCAAATGGCTAAACAAAATGCATACAAATAAATACAATCTCCAGTTTTCATTCTATTTTGTGCACCTGGTTCACGCTGCCCAAGCGCCTCACTGCTGACTGCCCTGTGCCTATGTAGGTTATCGGAGAGTTCTTGGAAACGCGAATGTGGCCAGAACTGAGATTTTAAAATCTTAAACTTGGACTAAAACCCAGGTCACAGTGTACAAGGTAAGCGTCCTACCCGCTATGCTATTGCTCCAGTCCGCATTCTTACAATGTTTGAAAAAATAAGCAAAAATAATAAAAAATAAAAAATAATCCCCAGCTGGCAGTGCTGGGGATTCTGGGTCCCTCCTGCAGTGGCGCTCTGGTGGCAGTGAGCTGGGTGCACCACTACACCTACTGGTGGTGGTGGTGGTGGTGTGTGTGTGTGTGTGTGTGTGTGTGTGTGTGTGTGTGTGTGTGAAGTAGGGGGCAGGGGGAGGATGACACAGGGATGGACTCCAAGGGACTTGCACTGGTTAGGAATGTGGCCACCACCTGAGCTATCTCCCTGGTCCCTGGGTTTTTCTAAATAAAATTCATAAATACTAGGGGCATATCTGCATCAACAAAATACATTTTAAAAAATCAGTAAAGGCTAAATTACCACAAAAAATAATAATAAACAATCAACATTGGTTTTGAAGCTCTCACCAAGTTGTAGCATCATATTAACTCCTAGGTGAAAAACAGTAACTAGGGAAATGAAATTAAATGAAAAAGTAAAAGAAGTCACTGTCACTGCCCTCCCGTTGTTCATCGATTTGCTCGAGTGGACCCAGTAACGTCTCCATTGGAGACTTTGTTGTTACTGTGTTTGGCATATCGAATACGTCACGGGGAGCTTGCCAGGCTTTGCCGTGAAGGCGAGATACTCTCAGTAGCTTGCTGGGCTCTCCGAGAGGGGCGGAGGAATCGAACTCGGGTCGGCCGTGTTGGCCGCTTCCAAGCCCTACCCGCTGAGCTATCGTTCCAGCTCATAAAAAGAAGTAAAGGGGTAAAAGAATAGGGGAAAGATATGGGAGAAAAGGGAGATTTTTATTTTGGAGATGTTTCCCAAGCAGTGTTCAGGCTTGAAAACTTGGGACAAAGTGGAATGTTAGCGCTTCAGGAAATACAACAGTATGTAATTGTAGTAAACGATAATTGTATTGGTCAGAATCTACCAGTCCTGCTTGGGGATGAATCGAAGTTCTTCAACTCATTATCTGCCTCTGGGCACACCGGGAACACCACTGAGGATCACAGTGAAGGAAAATACTGCAAAGTGCTCAAGAAATGGAGTTTATGCGAGGACATTGTTCACCCTTAATTAGGATCAGTAATTAGGATATGGAAATCAAATTTCCAACCATTCTTCTCATCTAGGGCTGGAGCGACAGCACAGCGGTAGGGCGTCTGCCTTGCACGCAGCCAGCCTGACTGAGCCAGGTTCGATTCCTCCGCCCCTCTCGGAGAGCCCGGCAAGCTACCGAGAGTATTCAATATGCCAAACACAGTAACAAGAAGTCTCACAATGGAGACGTTACTGGGCCCGCTCGAGCAAATCGATGAACAATGGGAGGACAGCTCCTTACAGCTCCTTTCTCATTTAATTCTGGATTCAGTTATAACACCTGGAATAAATTTTATTAAGTGACTGTGTCTGACAGCAATGACTAAAAATAGGATGTGAGACTCCACTTGTCTCTTCGATCTCAAGGTTTATCACACAGGCTACATCTTCCTCAGAATTTTATAGTGCAAGCTATTTGGTCCGAACAGGGAGCATCTCGACAGTCGCTACTCTCTGGCTTTTCGCTGAGCTGCCTCAAAGCAACCATGTAGGGCTCAGTGACGCCCATTTACTGAGGTTTGTTCATGAAAAACCAAAGTGTAACCCAGTGAGGTCTGCTCACATGGAACCAAAAGCACTGTGTAGCCATCCACAACAAACCCCGAGTCAGGAAAATTCCCAAGAATATGCAACTTAAATGGAGATGTTTTATTTCTTTGGCTTTCGGGGTTACACTCGGCGATGCTCAGGGCTTACTTCTGGCTCTGCACTCAAGAACTCCAATCAGTGCTAGGGAGACCAAATGGGATGCTGGGGATCGAACCCATGTCGGCTTCGTGCAAGGCAAATGCCTTCCCTGCTGTACTGTCATTCTGGTTCCCATTCTTATTCATGTACTATTAAACACAGCACAGAGATGATTTATGTGCTGTTCTGTGGGGGGGGGGGGGGGGGGTCACGTCCAACAGAGCTCAGAGGGACATTCCTGGCAAATTACAATGGGTTAAAGATGGAAACACTAGGAAGAAGAGATAGAACTGCTAACAGTAATTTTCCTGGTTGTTACAAACACAACTTCTTAGCCTGCATTCCCTCAGAAATCTTACTAATATTATGAGGTAGCAATATCTGTCACACAGTTAAAGGCCTAATTGTGGTTCTTTATGGGAAACTTGAAACTCTGGTACATGCATTATAATCTGCCTTCTCCATCCGCTTCCCTGGGAACACTCCTGCTGTATGGCAAAATGCCTGAACTGAAAGTACATTTTGATATTTGGTGGAAAAAAAAATAAAGACTCAAGCATCCAACTGCCGAAGTTGAAATTTTAGCTCCATGGATTTCTAGCTCTGCAACTTTGGACACATTATATTCTTTTATACCTCAAAGTGGTAGCACTGTAGCACTGTCCTCCCGTTGTTCATGGATTTGCTCTTGCTTGAGGGAGCGGGCCCAGTAACACTGTGAGACTTGTTACTGTGTTCGGCATATGGCATACTTCATGGGTAGCTTGCCAGGCTTTGCCATGCCGGTGAGATACTCTCGGCAGCTTGCCAGGCTCTCCGAGAGGGGCGGAGGAATCGAACCTGGGCCGACCAGGTTGGCCACGTGCAAGGCAAACAAACGCCTTACCCGCTGTGCTATTGCTCCAGCCCCCTCAAAGTGGCATTCTCTGCAAAGTGTCAACATATGTATTGTACTGTATGACAGCACTTATTTAAAAATGTCAATGTGAGAATAAGCTGACAAAGTATCACACAAATCTTTGGTTCCGGTACCAGGGATAGCTCCTTTTATTGTTTATTTAAACCACTTCCCTGCCTCCCTCCTCCCACCTAGCCCCCCCACCCCCTCGCCCTTGTGATGAGCAGGGGGCCGTGTATCAGCCACACTGTGGTGCTTGCTGGTGGCCTCACACCAGGTCACAGTGCTCGAAGTCTGCAGTCCGTCAGCAGTGCTGCCTACACATGTGCTCCCCAGAGGTGACTCTCACTGTGGTCTCACACACGCTGATTGTGGCGCTTGCCGGCGGTCACTGCAGATTCCACACAGGCTCACCCAAGCTTGTACCAACTGGCCCTGTCACTCAAATCTCCTTTCAGTTAGTGCCTAGGATGGGATGGGGGGTGGGGTCACACCCGTTTGTTGTCGTGCTCACACTCAAGGAATCGCTTGGTATCCCTGGGGATCACAGACAACAGTTACCCGGCTCTAACAGCAGTGCCACCAGGATTGTTTTCAGTGCATGTGGAGGCATCCGGGTCTGAACTTGTGACCTTATGCTTGCAAGGCAGGTATTCTAAACCAGCAAGCTTTTCCTCCAGGTCCTGGTAATTCTTGTCTTGAAAATCATCTGTCTCCTACATCTCATTCTAACTCGAACAGCCCCTTAGACTCATGTCCTTACTTCCAGGCTTCGTCCTCTACAATCTACACTGAGGTCAAAACAGCATCTGAGACTATGTAGCTGCTGGCATCTTCTGCCACAGACATCAGTGTGGAGAATTCCTTACTATCGTAGACAAGTCCCTTTAAAATAGTCTACTTCATCCTCCAGTGTGGGTCGGGTCAGATCAAGTTAATTAAAACCCTCCAAATGTGCTTCCCTCTTTCCACACGTGACTTCACACGTGCCATTATTCTGTCTAGAATCCCCTTTTCTCCTCTCATCGCTCTTGCCAAGGAAGTCAGGTGCCCATTTTTCGTGTGTCCCCAGAAACTCTGATATTTATCATGTTCTATCTCGGATATCTGGTTGCCGATACACTTCTTCTCCCCACAAGAGAGCAATCAGATCTGCCTTCTACCTCCAATAAAGAACAGAAGCGGGAGCCATGTTCTGTGCGCCTTGTTCTACCATTTTTCACCAATACCTTAAAATCACTTTCGATTCCTTTATTCCTCATCCCCCATGCTTGTTTATCAGTCAAGCCGCTAAGTTCAGGTAGAAATGTGCCTAGAAAGGCTACGTTCATGAATTAAGTAGGTGTCAAAATATCACACCGAATGGAACATCCTACAAGTATTTTTTTCCTTGCTGAATATTTGGCTGCAGCATGCGGCTCTCGACAATGAGCTGCTACCCTCCGTCCTGACCAGCTCTGAACGCTACGATACTTGGGCATTCAAAGGCTTTAATCAACATCATTACTTAGGAAAACGCCTTACAGAATCTTAATCATTACCTATCCCTCAAAAGTAATTTTAGGGGCTTGAGCCATAGTCTGGCAGGTAGGGCATTTGCCTCACAGGCTGCTGACCAGAGTTGGATCCCCAGCATACCACTTGGTTCCCAAGCCACCATCCATCACCCCTCAACTCTATCCGGAAGGAATTCCTGAATGTAGAACCAGGAGTAACCCCTGAGCACTGCCCAGGGTGGCCCAAAAAGTAGTAACTTTATATTTCATGTGCAAAACTCCAATTGGCAAATCCATCCAAAATGGAAAGAAAAAACTTTAAACCTTAGTTGTGTGAATTACTGAGAATAAAATAAGCATTTCTCCTTGGCCTATTAATAAGGAACCCTGATTTACCTGCCCCCAACCCCAATCAGGAATCAAGACAGAAGCTTAACTGATCCCTCAGAGTTATAAAACTGCTGACTGGTTAAAGTTCTCATCAAAGACTCAAGTGAGAGGTTGGCTCACTGTCCTATACTACTTAAAGAACGTGTCTGCAGTTTGTACAGGTGCTACAGATTATAATTTAGACCCTTCTGACAATATTCAAAAGGCCTGTTCTCCGCTTTAAAAAAAAAAATTCTACCTCAAAAGAGGAAATGCCCATCATCCCTGAGCAAAGAAGGAAAAAAAAAAAAACCATAGGTATTTTTGTTAATAGAAGCTACTGTCTATGATATATCTACCTCTAGAACATTTTTACAGACTGTATGTAAACTGAAGTGGGTTATGAGCTGCTCTCAGAGGCTTTCCTGGATAAATGTATGTTAAAATTTAAGGAGTTGCTTTGCAAAAAATGTTTGATTATACACTAAAACATCTTTCATCTTGAAATTTGATAATAACACTACAAAGATGCTTATGAGATATGAAACTACTGCAAAAGGATTTTTTTTTTAAATGTTACTAAATTGTTAGCAGGAGAAAAGAGAATGGACAAAGGGAAGGGACATGACAAAGCTGTCACCATGAGCTGGGTTTTTTTCTTATTCATTCAGGGGCTTCTGGGACTCGGTTTGCTATCACTCATATTTATAATCCAAGTGCTTAAGAATAACTCAGACTAACTTAAATCCTTAAGGGAGTAAATGACAGGAAACATTTCTTAATCAAGGAGAGCTATAATTTCAAGGCATCTGAATAGAATTCATTTAACCCTAAAGCAATTGTGCAATAAGCAAAATCTTCTAAAACGAAAAACAATGAAAGGAGAACTTTTTACAGGGGCCACCAGACAAGACTATGGCAGCACAGCGATCAACCTTCACACACTGGAGTCTTCTTGAAAGGGCCATCAACCTCTCAGGTAACTGAAATCATGTTGCCAACGAAAGGAATGTTGATTCAAGAGTTCGAAACCTTTTCTTCTCCACAGAAATTTCAGACTGTTGCTAGCACAGATCATTCAGACCAAATCTCACTGATGGCTCCATCAGAGAACAAGGATACCCCAACCGGTGCTGTAGGAAAATGTAAAAACTGGGAGGAAAAGAAACAAAATGGAAACACTCTACTGTTCCCCAAAATATATGGCTTAGCACCCAGAGAAAGCCTCTGCCCCCAAGGAAACTTTCTACGCAGGGTTAAGCTTTGTAAAATGAGGTGTGTAGCTCTTCATTTTCAGGACATCTTTTCTTGGAAGGTCGTTAAGAGGCAGAAGTTCCGCTTGGATTCTAATACACATCTCTGTGAGCTCAGCTTCCTGAAAACATACACCTGCCGGACTCTAGGTTCTCCCTTGCCAGTGATTGGACTCACGACTTCACAGCCACCAGAATCGCACATACACTATTAGCATGATGAAAAACACAGCGACGGCTGCAAGTTTGGCGTAAGTGGAACGCATGTTCAAGTACTTCGCATCCTGGCGGTATTTCTTGGACAGACTAGACAGATTGTTAGCCTTTGAATCCAATGCTGTCAAAGAGGAAAAAAAAGGAAAACGTTAATTGGTCCCTGGAAGCACCTTACTAAATGTATTAAGACATAAAAATAACCAAAAAGGATACAGCTAAACCAAATAATCATGAAGCTTTCGTGACTTCTATTTTAAGGGTAAGATTACAACATCAAGATTCTGAAGCACTGTAAAGGCCACAATGCATTTAAAAATTAGTAGACCGGGTTATGTTCAAATGGGGGAGTCTGTATAGTGAAGTGGTTAGAAATGCACATTCTGGTTTCAAACTCTAGTCCACATTTTGCTGTCTTGCCTTCTGACAATGGTAAACTTACTTCGTTTTTTGGGGAACCAGTCTCTTCATCAATAATATGGGGACATAACACGAACTCTATCACATGACTACAGGTATGTGAAAACGCCTGTCAAGTGGGGACAATGTCTGTATCCGGTAAACACTTGATAAGAATTAGCTGATATCAGTCATCTTCACAATTAAATTACACTTATGGTCGAAATTATGATTTATGGTCAAAATCACATTCTCTTACATTTTGAAAATAGTAGCATATTAAAATTCTGGTTCTGAAAATTCAACAGATGAGACACAGGTTTGGGGGTTTTATTGGGGGGTGGGTCACACCTATGGTGCTCACAGTTTGCTCCTGGCCCTGTGCTCAGGGATCATTCCTGGAAGGGGTAGGGGACCATACATGGTTATGGGGATCAAGTCCAGATCAGTTGTGTGCAAGGCAAGCCCCCTACCCACTGTACTATCTCTCTGGTTTCAAATACTGAGTGTCTGGGGCCTCATGGGTCACATCCAGTGAAGCTCAGTGTTTACTCTAGGTCTGCACTGAGTTTTATCTCATGAATGCTACCAAATTTCTAGGACTCCCGTCATAGCAAAGGTCATTTTGAAGGTAGAATCATCAAAATCAACACTGAAAAGTTATATTGTCCATCTACAAAGCTTTTTTCCCCTATAATGGCAATTGTAAGTAATGTTGTAAACTCATTTTTTCATAATTAAATGAACACTTAAAGAGAAACAAACACAAACTGGATTAGACTGAAATATAGGGTCACTGTCACTGTCACTCTCCTCCCGTTGTTCATTGATTTGCTCGAACGGGCCCAGTAATGTCTCCACTGTGACAACTGTTACTGTGCTTGGCATATCGAATACGTCGTGGGAAGCTTGCCAGGCTTTGCCGTGTGGGCGAGATACTCTCGGTAGCTTGCCGGGCTCTCCGAGAGGGCTGGAAGAATCGAACTCGGGTTGGCCGTGTTGGCTGCGCGCAAGGCAAACGCCCTACCTGCTGTGCTATCGCTCCAGCCCAAATATAGGGCATATTTTTAAAATATAAACAAACTCTAAGATTGATATAAATTCTTATCAAACTTTTCACTGCTTTCAATTTTTGAAAAACCATTTTGCAATTTAAATTTATTCTTCCTTGGAAAATGCTTTTGGAATCTCTGAAATTGCTTAACGAAGACTGGTTTTGATTGAGAAATGTGGCATTACTTAATAACAGGCAAGTTGGTCTCTCCAAAACTAACAACTTCTCCTGCAGGAAAAAGAAAAAAACAGCAAACAAACCTAGTTGTTTTGCTGAGATCTGCTGCTCTTTCCACTGTGCTTTTTTGCTCAGCTCAGACACATGTTCTCTTCTTAAAATACCATTCGTTTGGGACTGCTGAGTTCGTACAGGGGAAAGGGCACTTGCCTTGCACTGGCTGACTCGGGTTCCAATCCCAGCACCCCATATGGTACCCAAGCCCCGCCAGGTGTGAACCCAGAGTGATCCCTGAATGTAAGGCCAGAAGAAAGCCCTGAGCACTGCTAGGTGTGGCCCCCGGACAAAAACAAAACGAACAAAATAAAATTACCGTTCCTTTGTGATGGATCTAAATTCAAGAACTCTTTTCCTGGTCATTTCACATTCCCCGACTACCGTGTTTTTATAGCTGACTGTCTATATATGCCTATTTAAAACTGCCAGACAGAGAAAGTGAACAAGGACCCTGGAGATCAAGGAATATTATTATGCATTAGCAGTGTGACTTTTATTTATTTTTTCAATTTATTTATTTTTGCTTCTTGGGTCACACCCGGCATTGCACAAGGGTTATGCACTCAGGAAATTACTCCTGGCGGTGCTCGGGGGACCATATGGGATGCTGGGAATCAAACCCGGGTCGGCCACGTGCAAGGCGAACGCCCTACCCGCTGTGCTATCACTTCAGCCCGGCAGTGTGACTTTTAGAGCAAGCCACTTAACGTTTCCATGTCTCTGCTTCTTTATCTGTAAAACAGGTTTGATAGTGCCCATTTTACAGGAAACTAATATAAGAATAAAAAGTGACATATGGAATCGCCCCTTAGTGTATATATTACTTGGCACACAGGAAATAACAGGTGTTCCCTTACATGACTGCATATCAGTTACGACGCAACGTTCCCTATGTTCTTAACCAGATGAAATTACTTAAGGATAGAAATATAATTCTTTTATAATTGCATATCATATTTGTGTAAGCATTCAAAGAGACTTTCACAGGTCCTATAAACTCAAAAGCACATGAATTTAGAATTTAAGGAAAATCTGTATGCTTTAGCTAAGTAGAAAAACAGTTACGAAATGGGTGTTGGGAAATGTGAACGTACAGCAGTGAAGGAGTGAAGGGATGAGTGCAGGAACACTGTACGCCGAAAGCCTAACCAGGAACAACTTTGTGACTGTGTACCTCTCAGTGACTAAGTAAAATACTAAAGAGAACAACAACGAGAAAATGGTTATGATATAAATTTATACAGATTCATTCACCCACATTTGATTTTGAAAGAGCAGGAAGCTGTAGGCTGGGATAATTGCTGATTTCATAATATAAAGATTACAACTGCAATTCATAATAAAGATCAGTTTATGCATGAATTAAATAAGGATTATTACTGTGAGGGAAAGAAGTATGTCAAGTATGAATCACTTATGCTACCACTTATACTACTCATATAAACTATCTTTAAAGAGTATGTGCCCATACCAACACTTAAAATATTAGATAAATATATATATAGTGTAAGATAAATGAGCAAAAAAGTATATACACACACACCCCATTATGTGCTAAAATACATTAAATAGCCGACTCCATTAAGAGTTTATAGGACAAAAGAGATTAAGGTGATGTGAACTGTAAGGACCAGGGAAAGCTATTTCAAGGGGCAATTCTTAGATATTAAAGAAAAGGTGCAAGATGGTAAGAAAGAGGCCCTGGCTGAGGCTGAAGGTTCGAGAGCTAGGGAGAAATGAAAGAGATTTGCACGGCCCTTGTCTTCTGGAACAGAGAACACAAGGCCTTGTGTATCGTAAAAATTCAGTAAAAATGATTCAATAAAAGATCGGAGAGTTAGTACTGTTCTTGTCTCACACACAGCTGAACCGGATTCAATCCCTGGAAACCTCTACGGTTCCCAGAGCCCAGCAGGAGTAATTCCTAAAGATTCAATAAAATGTAAGTTGGTACCAAACTATATCTTCTCTTGCAGTCACAGATTTTAAGGATTCCAGCAGAGAATGCCTTGATAATAGCGTTTTATAACACCTGCTAAAGTCAATTATCTTGTAGTGGCTCCAAATGAAAGGAGTCTTTGGCAATTCTTTTCCTTTCGTTTTATGTCCCTTACTTACTAAGAATATTTACTAAATTCGGTAAATAATTCAGAAACAGCGATTCTATTGCAGATGAGATCTTTACGATATCCCTGTTCCAAAGAAATGAATCATGCTAGGGGCCCCGAATACCATCAGGTGTGGTTCCCATGACAGCAAAATAAAAGAACACCCCCCACCCCCCGCCCCTCACCTGGAAGCGTAGTACTGTAAAACATTTTTAAAGAAGGAACTGTTAACACTGCTCAATAGGCCATGGCACCAGGAACCATTCCCCTACGTAAGGTATCTACCCTGCAACACTTGCTCCCCAGACTCTACGGTGTTGAGTACCTGAGAGAGCTTCTCCACGCTGCAAGACCTCCTCAATGTTGGCCACCATGATCCTCTGAACATCTTGTAATTCAGTGTTGATGGAGCCTAGGTTTCTTCGAGCACGACTATCAATGTAGAGCTTCTTGGTTTTCTGAATGTAGGTATCTAAAATTAAAAAGTGACCGTGAGCATTTTTTTCAATCCATCTTTTTCTTTCTGTAGACCGCTCGGCCATAGCACAGCGGTAGGGCGTTTGCCTTGCACGTAGCCAGCCCAGCCGAGCCGGGTTCGATTCCTTTGCCCCTCTCGGAGAGCCCGGCAAGCTACTGAGAGTATCTCGCCCGCAGGGCAAAGCCTGGCAAGCTCCCCGTGACCTATTGGATATGCCAAACACAGTAACAACAAATCTCACCATGAAGACGTTACTGGGCCCACTCAAGCAAATCAATGAACACCGGGAGAACAGTGCTACAGTGCTTTTTTTTTTTCAATGAAGACGACAACTCAGTAAGCTAGGAGTTTAGTTCTGCATCTACAACTGCCCGTGGTTAATTAAACTTCAGTACCAAAATCTGAACTTTGATTTTTTTCATTTGTGAATTTCAACATACTAGATGACCACTAGAAATTAAACAACCACACAAGAAAAAAAAGAAATACCCTCAGCACTTCCCTGAATTAGAAGTACCTGCTACCATGGCCAGAGCGATAGAGGGTAGGGCATTTGCCCTGCATGCGGCCGACCAGGGTTCAACCCCTGACATCCCATCTGGTCCCCAAGCACCGCCAGAATTAATTCCTGAGTGCAGAGCCAGGAGCAACCCCTGAGCATCGTCGGGTGTGATCCAAAAGGAAAAAAAAAAGTATCCGCTACCAAGATTCTGAGAGAGGGGTGCGGAGAGGGCTCAAAACGGTCCGAGACACATGCTTTGCATACAGGAGTTCCAACTTGATCCTCAGCACTGCACAGTACCCTGAACACTGCCAGCAGTGGCCCTGAAGCACCAAGAAGGCAACATTCCTGAGCACTGGCAGGTGTGATTCCCAAGCCAAAATCAAACAAAACCCTCAAAGTGGTATAGTCTGACTGTATCTGTTTTCTCTTCCTCTATTTACCATAAGTAGGACAAGTTTGACCTGTGTTGAGTCTTTCTATGATTTCAGTACAAACAGATGTCTACCATGCTTACTACGTCACTAGAGTAAATACTCCCCTTCAAATGATACCATAAGTCTAGTACATTTAAAATTCATTATAAAATTTCTTATTTTAGAATTTATTATATTAAATTAATATAATTAATTATATTAAGAAAAACACCATTCTTTCAGAATTCCATCTACTGATGGCCATAAAAATTACATCACTGTGTGCGTGTGTGTGTGTGTGTGTGAGAACACAAGTGTGTGTGTTCTGAAAGAACTAGGCTGTGAGATGCTAATTAAATAGCTCTTGAGACATGGGTTTTGTCACAACCGAATGAAGAATCAAACCAAGCAACAAGGGCAGAGAACAATGGGTCCATGAAGAAAAGATCAAAAGAGCAGAGAAAACCAGGAGATGAAAGTCTCCTTCTTTTGCAAGGACAGTAAGTATAGAAAAAGAGCAAGAATCCAAAACTAGTAAGCAAATGTGTCTAAAATATTACCAGTGTAACAAACAACTTCCACATATTGTTGGTTCTCTTCACAGACAGCTGAGCTGCCCAAACTTACCAAACTCAATGAAGGAATACGGCCTGGAGACGGTGGGCACCTTCTTCCCATGCTGCTCGTCAAACTCTGAGTGCAAATCTTCTAGGTAGGCGAAAGCCAGCTTTTTAGGGAAGGCAGCTTCACACAAAACCAAGTAACACACCCCCTGCTCAATAATGTAGCTAGAGAGACAAAAAAAAAAAAAAAAAAAAAAGAAAAAGAAAAAGGCTGTTTACAGTAACAATACCTCCAAAGTTGAAACTTTGGCTTTTTAGCACAATGTTCTAGCCTAAATGTATTAAGGCTAGCTAAATGAGAAAGTCGATTTCAAAAAACTTCTCTGTGGAGTGGCTGGAGTGATAGCACAGCGGGTAGGGTGTTTGCCTTGCACGCGGCCGACCAGGGTTCAATTCCCAGCATCCCATGTGGTCCCCTGAGCACTGCCAGGAGTGATTCCTGAGTGCAAAGCCAGGAGTAACCCCTGAGCATCGCCAGGTGTGACCCAAAAAGCAAAAAAAACTTCTCTGTGGAATTAGACAGTAAACATTTTCCTATTATTAAAAGTATAGTCCAAAAGGAGTACTTTAAATAATTTATTATAAATTGTTTGTTATATGATTCTTCAACTGTCACTGTTCTCCCATTGTTCGATTTGCTCAAGCGGAACCAGTAACATTGTGAGACTTGTTACTGTGTTTGGCATATCGAATACGTCACGGGAGGCTTGCCAGGCTTTGCCGTGTGGGCGAGATACTCTCGGTAACTTGCTGGGCTCTCCGAGAGGGGAGGAGGAATCAAACTCAGGTCAAGCTGTGTTGGCCGCAAGCAAGGCAAATGCCCTACCCGCTGTGCTATGGCTCCCTAAAACTTTTATTAAAAATTCAGAATGGCAACTATTTATCCTTTGATTATAAGCAATAAACTAGACTACAAACATTTTAACTCCTAAGGACCAGAGTACAGTGTGTAAGGCATTGCAGATAGCCAACCTGGGTTCAATCTCCAGCACCTCGTGTGGGTCCCTAAGCATCACCAGGTATGAATGGTGGTGTCATAAGTCATAGTGGATGTGACCGCCCCCCCCCCCCCCAACAAAAACATGTATTTCTCAAATATCTAACTCTTCCAACACTTTTCCCCCGCCTCTTGGTAGGGAAGTTTGGCTACACCTGATGGTCCTCAGGGATTATTCCTGGCTCTGTGCTTAAGGGTGACCCCTGAAGGTGCTGGGGGGCCCATATATGGTGCCGGGCATTTGGACCAGAGACTGAAGGATGCAAAGCAAACATCTTCCCCCCTGTAACTAGCTTCTAAGTGTTACAATTCCTTAGAACCAACTTTAAAAACCAGTGGAAGTAGAGTTGTGTAGATGCTTAAAAGTTAGAAGTTAATGTCACAGTATGTATTGGACAAACTGGCAGGCTACCGAATGTAGCCTGCCCGCACGGCAGAGTCTGGCAAACTCCCCGTGGCGTACCCAATATGCCAAATACCAGTAACAATGATGGGTCTCATTCTCCTAAAGAGCCTTGAATATAACCTCAGGGCCAGGATGAAGGAGACGTTACTGGGGCCTGCTCGAGGCAATCGACGAATAACAGGAAGATTTGTGATTGTGATGTATTGGGTACAGAGAATAAAGACGTCGGAAATAATATTCTTCCCTAATCTCCAGGGTACAAGGTCCATCAGAGGGAACCTATTTAATAACGAAACTGGTTCCTCTTACAAGATTAAGCTCCCTAACCCTCTTCAAGGAGCTATACGATACCTAAGATATTCCTGAGGTAGTTAAGCTACCCAGTGGTGGTCAACTATTGTTTTAGTTACAGTATTCTTTATTTCTGCAAAATATGCTCAGAAGAGCAATAAACAGAGCAAACAATCACAAGTCATTTTGCTTAAGTCAGAGCTTAAAGGCCCAAAGCACTAGGCATACCGGTATCTCCAGTCTTCTTATATAGCCCCTAGGTGTCTAAGGACTCCCCAGAGCAATATTTTTGGGGGAGGGGGTTTGTGTTGTTTGGGGGTACACCTGGTGATGCTCAGAGGCTAGTCCTGGCTCTGTGCTCAGGACTGATCCCTGGTGGTGCCCAGGGAACGATTAGATGGTGCCAGAGGATTAAACCAGGATTGGCCTCATTGCAAGGCAAGGGCCTCAACCCTGCACTATCTCAAAGCCTCATTTCAAGTCGATTAAACGGGGGCGGGGGGGGGAGGAGAAAAGAGAGGAGAGAAGAAAGGAGAGGGAAAGAGAGGGAGGGGAAAAAAAGAGAGAAGGGGCAAAGAAAAGGGGAGGGAGAGAGGGAGAGAGAGAAAACAATCATTGCTGCATTATAATTCTGTTCTTCTAGTGCTGGCGTGGGCACTTGAATTATCCAGTCTCCTTGACTTCAGTCTACATCATCTTCTTCTTCTTCTTCTTTTTTTTTTTTTTTTTTTTTTGCTTTTTGGGTCACACCCGGCGATGCACAGGGGTTACTCCTGGCTCTGCACTCAGGAGTTACTCCTGGTGGTGCTTGGGGGACTATATGGGATGCCGGGATCGAACCTGGGTTGGCCGCACACAAGGCAAAGCCCTACCCGCTGTGCTATCTCTCCAGCCCCACGACATCATCTTCTAAACCTAGTTTTATTCCTGAAAAGTAATTAACACTGCTTAACATATCCAGGGCTCCCTTAGGTCCTATAAAATATAACCACAGTCCTTGATATATTGTTTGCGGCTCTCCAAAATAACTAGTATATATCTTAACACATCAAATGACTCTCTCTCCCTACAAATTTCTGCTTTGTTTTTCTTAACAATGAAAAGCACACATCTTTTTTTTTTTTGGGGGGGGGGGTCACACCCGGGGATGCACAGGGGTTACTCCTGGCTCTACACTCAGGAGTTACTCATGGCGGTGCTCAGGGGACCATATGGGATGCTGGGAATCGAACCCGGGTCGGCCACGTGCAAGGCAAACGCCCTACCCACTGTGCTATCTCTCCAGTCCCATGAAAAGTACACATATGAAGAAACTTGGTCTGTTTTCATATGTTCAATTATCCTATAATTTTTTTCTATTGCATTTTTGTATTCTTGGATGTTTTCAATTAACGGTAGTTTTGTCACTTTTAAGTTAAACAAAGAAGGTTCCTCCTATGCCATTAGAGTATTAGTAACTGTAGCACTGTCCTTCTGTTCATCGATTTGCGCGAGCAGGCACCAGTAACGTCTCCATTGTGAGACTTGTTACTGTTTTTGGCATATCGAATATACCACGGGAAGCTTAGCAGGCTCTGCCGTACGGGCAGGATACTCTCGGCAGCTTGCCGGGCTCTCCGAGAGGGGCGGAGGAACTGAACCGGGGTTTGCCGCGTGCAAGGCAAACGCCCTACCTGCTGTGCTATCGCTCCAGCCAATTAGTAACTAAGTTCCTAAAATACCAAGGACTATTTAGCTAATCTCTTTACATTTCCTTCTGATCATCAGGTCCACTTTGCTTTTTAAACTCTTTCATCACTTTCAAATATGACATATATTAAACATTCGATAACAATCATTTCCAGAAGATTTATAAGCCTTTAAATCTCACTTAGCTCTATGCATTGTCTATAACCAATAACTGAGGTGTCGTTAAACTGTCTTTTATAGTTCCTTCTTTCCTAAATACTTAATAGTTCTATTATTTCTGACATCTGGGCACAATACTGATACAGATAAATTTTCTTATAATCCTCAGAAAAATAAGAAAATCACTTATTTTCCCCTAATCCATATAGAATATTGAAGACCAGTGACATTTATGGTAATTGCTTAAATTATTAATAAATGTTGGCTATACTTAAGCTTCTAAAGCAAAAAAAAAACCACTGTATTATTGCTTGATGGGAACAGCATTCACTACATAAATTACTCATTAAAGCACTCACTAGTTAAATTATTGTGTACAAGATGGGGAAAAAAAATTAGACCCATGAAATTGTTTTCATGAAGAGATAGTATTTTAAAAAGTATCCCTACCTAAAAAAGAAATTGTTATTCCTATCAAAGTGCTGTTTATTATGACTGTCTTTCATAATTTAACGATTGCAAAGAAACTATTTCATAATGAAATTGTTGCAAAAATACTCACTGAAAAGTCATGGCGCCAGCTTCCAAGGTACATCTGTTAGGAGACTGTTCATTTAACTTTCGGAAAAGTTGCTTAGCCTGACTCTGGTATTGTTGAAGGTCCCGGCCGGACTGCAAAAAGATAACTTCATTTAAGAATTTTCCACTAAAAAAGTTGTTTAGTTAGTGAAAAAGGTCATAGAGTATAAGGAGGACACTGTGTCAATAAGGTCCGACGTGCAATCTGGTGTTTTGTTATTTGCTTGCATGTCGAGGGCATGTGGCACCAGGGTCTGAGACATTCAAGACAGGCGCTCTACTACCCGAGAGACACACTGATCCTCGATTCCGAGCTCTTTCTCCTATGAGGTCAGTGCCTTTCTCCTCCTCTACATTTCACTTGCAGTTACCATCACAGGATTTTACAGAAGTGCTATACTCGGGATAATTCTGAGAACAAAACACTGATCACAGATTTACACTGACATTCCTAGAAAAACCTTCCAAAAAATATTACAGTGAAGAGCATTTAACCAAAAGTGAATGTGTTTGGCTTTGACCAAAAATTATTCTAATTACCATAACTATAGATAAAAGTGAACAAGAATAAAGAAAAAAATTGGAAAGCTAAATATCCGTTGTTGAAAAATCTATTTCCTGAGTGTGGACAGCAAATGTTGGAGCGCATATACACATCTAAAAATAAAAGTAACATTCAAATAGAATTACAGGCAGTATTTTCCCAATTTCCTAATTATACAATATTTAAAAATTTATTTTTATTAAGGCAACATCCAGATTTAGAGTTGTTCACAGAATTTCAGGCATACAGTATCCAACACTAATCCCAGCACGAGTGTAAATTTCTCTCCACCAAACTGTCTCTTTAACAGGCACTTTTTTTTCCCCCTTTTTGGGTCACACCCAGCAATGCTCAGGGGTTCCTCCTGGCTCTGCACTCAGGAATTACTCCTGGTGGTGCTCAGGGGACCATATGGGATGCTGGGGATTGAACTCAGGTCGCTGAGTGCAAGGCAAATGCCCTACCCACTATACTATCAATCTGGCCCCAAACAGGTACATTTTGAAGTTGTTTATTGTACCTTGGGTCTCAAGTAAGGAATGACAAAACCATGCGGCTTACTGCAACCTGCATGGAACAGGAGGATCTTGTGTGAAGTCAAAAGAGAAAGACACACACTGGATGGTCTCACTTATCAGCGGTCTACAGACTGACAGGCCAAGGAAATGCAAAATATCAAAGGGAGTGATACTGGGGCCGCAGAAGTCGTACAGTAGCTAGGGCATCTGCCTCGAATGCGGCTGACCTAGGTTTGATACCCGGCACCCCATATGGGCTCCTGAGCCCTGCCAGGAGAGATCCTTGGGCGAGAACCAGGTCATGGGGTCTATCCACAAACAAACAAACAAACAAAAAAAACAAAAAAAGCAGGGGGTGGGGGTGGGGGTAAACCTAGATTAGCCTTGACCCAAGTTACAGGAGTGAGGAGGACAGGGAAGGAAAGAGGTTGGGGAGGGCCATTAAATAATAAGACAGAGACGGAAGGTCACACGAGCAAGGGTCTTGGGTATTTCAGTGGTACAGGGCTGTGACCTCTGTCTTTTTCTAAACCGCAGAGCCACGAGCTCTTTGATGTTGATCTTCATTACATATCTTCAATATTAATCCTTTATCTGATGCGCTGAATGCAAATATTTTCTCACATTAGGTTGGTTATCTTTTAGGTATAGCTCATGCTTCTTTGGCATGCAGAATGCTTTGATACAGTCCCATTTATTTTTGTTGCTTTTGCCCAGGAAATTGTATCACTGAAGAATACCTTTGAGGTTCAAATCTCGGGAGTATTAGCCATAACTTTCCTCAATGCATTTTACAAATGCTGGTCTGATCTCAAGGTCTTTGATTTACTGTGACTTGACTTTTGTGTAAGAAATGAGACAAAGCTGTACCTTGTTTTAAATTAAAAAACAATTTCTTTTTAATATGTGGGTTATCCAGCTTTCCTACCATTTACTGAAGAGGCTATCTTTATTCCACTCCATGTACATAATTTCTTTGTCAAAAATGACTTGACTATAGCACTGTTCTCCCTTGTTCATCAATTTGCTCGAGTGGGCACCAGTAACACATCCACTGTGAGACTCTTGTTACTGTTTTTGGCATATTGAGTATGCCTCAGGGAGCTTGCCAGGCTCTGCCGTGTGGGTGGGATACTCTCGGAGCTTGCCAGGCTCTCCGAGAGGGATGGAGAAATCGAACCCGGGTCGGCCGCGTGCAAGGCAAATGCCCTACCCGCTGTGCTATCATAGATCTGGGCTATTTGTCTACTGAGTACTCAATTCTAATCCATTGGTCAGTTTATCCTTATTCCGGTAACATGCTGTTTTGGTTTATAGTATAGTTTCAAGCTAGGTAATAATATGTCATCCAACCATTTTTTTTTCCAGTATGATTTTGGCTTTTCAGAGTGTTTTATATCCTAACAGACTTTATTTTGACCGTTCTAAGTCCCTGAAGAATGTCATGAGAATTTGGATGGGAACCAAGTTGGACCTATATTAATAATTTAGGTTAGGATGCTTATTTTGACAATATTGATTTTTTGATCTATGACCACGAACTATGTTTCCATTTTCTAAGGTCGTCTTCAATCTTTCATAAATGCAGTTTTATGGTCCAGGCCTCACATCTTTACAAAAGGTTGGTGCCTAGGTATTTGGTGTTTTTGGACACTATCTGAAAGGAGTAGATGTACATGTGAATGCAAGAGATTTTTGTATGTTGACTTGTAACTGGTTACTATGCTGTACTGGGTGTTATTTCTAGAAATCTTTTGGTGGACTCATTGTAATGAGGAATAATTTTTTGGGGGAAAAAGTCTACTCGAAGGAAATAGTGTTATCACTTCAGAAAACAAACAAAAAAAACCCTCACAGCTCACTCACTAGATTCAGGGGGAAAAAGAAGTGCTTGCAGAATAGAAAGCAAATGCACGTTAGTTATTCAACCACAAACTAGGGGAAAATAAAATAAACATTTCTGTCATGTAATGAGAATGAATGATTTTAATTTGGACTGAAAGACAGGTTCTAAGGGTTGGGGGAGAGGCTGGAATGATAGTACAGCGGATAGGGCATTTGCCTTGCACAAGGCTGACCCGGGTTTGATTCCCAGCATCCCATATGGTCCCCTGAGCACTGCCAGGAGTGATTCCTGAGTGCAAAGCCAGAAGTAACCCCTGAGCATCGCCAGGTGTGACCTGAAAAGCAAAAAAAAAAAAAAAAAAAGGGTTGGGATAGGCTTTGTAAGTAGAAGCTCTAGGTTCAATCCCTACAACAAATGACCCCTTGAAAAGGAAAGAATATGGTGATGACATATTACAATGAAATACTATGTAGCCACATATTGTATAATATTGTATAATATTTGATGAGAAAATATTCATCACAATACTAAATGAAAACTATTATGTGGGATAATCTTACAGTATTGACTATTATTTTAATTGTATATTTACAGCTTGCTATGTATCAAAATAAATGTAATAAGGGATTATTTATAAAAGTTTATTAATATTATGGTTTACATAATATTATGGTTTAATTTAGTTTACGGTTTACATAAATATTACGGTTTAATTTGTGTACATTTTCTGATTACAATAAGCACAGATCAATTTTGTAATGGGAAAAAGTATTCAATCATCCATTCCTATTTATTATGTATTTCTACCAACTGAGTATGATGTTATAATCCTAGTTTATGAACTGTAAGAAAAATCAAATTAAATTAGAAAAGTATTCAGAAATAGGGGGTTAGAGACAGGAAAAGTATTTACCTTGTACATGGCTGACCTCAGTTCGATCCCTGAGACCACATAATCCTCTGGGGCTCCCCTTACTCCTGACAGAGCCAGCCCTGAGCACAGCTAGGAATGGCCCAAAAACAAAAAAACAAAAAGATTCTTCAAAAAATACCCAGCATCGGTGGGAATGCCGGCTGGTTCAGCCCTTTTGGAAAACAGTATGGACGATTCTAAAAAATTAGAAACTGAGTTCCCATTTGACCCAGCAATACCACTCCTGGGAATATATCCAAGAGAGGCAAAAAAAATACAGTCGAAATGACATTTGCACTTCTATGTTCATTGCTGCACTGTTCACAACAGCCAAAATTTGGAAACAACCCGAGTGTCCAAGAACAGATTAAAGAAACTTTGGTACAGCTACACAATGGAATATTATACAGCTGTTAGAAAAGATGAAGTCATGAAATTTACATACAAGAGGTTCTACAAGGAAAGCATCAAGCTAAGTGAAATGAACCAGAAAGAAAGGGACAGACATAGAAAGACTGCACTCATCTGGGGAATATAAAGTAACACAAGAGGAGTCGAACACCCAAGAATAGTTGAGATAAGTACCAGGAGGTCTGCTCCATGGCTTGGAAGCCAGCAGCACATGCTGGGGGAAAAGGCAGCTCAGATAGAGAAGGGAACACCAAGTAAAGGATGTTTGGAGGACTTGCTCTGGATGCAAGATGCAAGATTCGTGCTGAAAGTAGACTACAGACCGAACACAATGGCTACTCAATACCTCTATTGCAAAATACAACACCCTAAAGGAAAAAGGGAATGCCCTGCCACAAAGGCAGGGTGGGGTGGGGGGATGGGGTGTGGGGGTGGGAGGGCTACTGGGATCATTGGTGGTGGAGAATGGGCATTGGTGGAGGGATGGGTACTCGATCATTGTATAACTGAAACCCAAGCACAAAAGTTTCTAAGTCTACAACTGTACCTCATGGTGTTTCACTTAAAAAAAAAAAAAAAACACAACAACAACACCAGCATCCCATATGGTCCCTCGAGTACCACCAGGAGTAACTCCTGAGTGTAAAGTCAGGAGTAACCCCTGTGCATTGCTGGGTGTGACTCCAAAAAAAGGGGGGGGAAGACTTCAAAAATAGAAAAAAGAATTTAATTTTATTAATGTGTTCCTATCTGATTTCTGTCAGTAGACCATTAGAAACATTTTACATAACTTACATAATCTTTACAACTAACACCATGAGGGCATTATTATATCCATTTTATGGAAAAGAATTGAATAGATATTTTTTCAAAGATGATACGTAAATAACCAACAGGTACATACAGATGCTCAAAATCACTATCACCAGGGAAATGCAGATTAAATGATTTTTTTGATCACATCTGTAGAGTGGAAACTATCAAAAAGATAATAATAGACGTTAGTAAAGAGAAAAAGGAATGTTGCTGGGATATTAATTAGTACAATCACTATGCAATGGATATGAAGGCACCTCAAAACTTACAAATAAAATTACCATAAGTGCTAGGGAGTCTAGGTTTGGATATTTATCTGAAGATACTGAAAACATGAAGTTGAAAAGTTATATGTACCTGCCATGTTTACTGCAATATTCTTGATAACAGCCAAGATACGGTATAATGAAAGTACAATGGAATAATGACCAGATAAAGAAAATGTAGTATACATATACAATAGAATATTATTCAATAAAAGGAAGGAAAAAAATCCGTCTGCAACATGAATGGACTTTAAAGCATTATACTAAGTGAAATATATCAAACAGGAGAAGACATATACTAAAGATCTCACATGAGCAACCTAAAAACAAATTTTTTAAATGTAGCTACTGATGCAGCATGCGGACTAGTGAATGCAGAGTCAGAGGACTAGTAGACAAAAGATGTAAATAGGTAAAGGTGGTTTAACATGAATCTTTCAGTCATAAAATAAACCAAGGGGAAATAATACATAGCTCTGTGGTTGTCACTAGTAACTGCATTCAATATATGAAAGAGGTTAAAATATAGTAAATCTTAAATGTAATACTAAGGAAAAAAACTTAACTGCATGGTGATAGATGTTACTGTGATCACTTCACAATACACACAAGTACATGAAATCCTTCTGTTACATGCCTAAAATGAATGCTTTATCAATTGATTTCAATAAAGTTATAAAATTTAAAAAATTATGCCCATTCTATATTTGAGAACTTAAAACTTATTAAAGACTCAAGGCTAATCAGTGAGGAAAGGACTAAGATTTGAACCCAGACAATATTGTTCTTGAAATCCCTGTTTCATTTCTACAATAAAAATTGCTTGTGACAGTGGAGCCCGCTTCTAAGTGAAGTCCTAGTATTTTAATATTAAATCTAATAGGAAATACTCGAAGAATCGAGTGACAACAATCACTTACGTCTTGCAAAAGACCAACAGTCAGCCAATATACTGAAAAAAAGTTGGATTAGAGGCGTAATTCTGTTCTCAACTTCATCTAGCTTATGTCAACATCTATATCTATTAGGAGTCTAATATTGAAGTGGATGTCTGGACAAATTCTGAAACTAATCTGGGGCCATCCGATAGCACATTCAGGATTTGATTCTAAATATAAAAGACAGTGATTTGTTACGTAACAACAATACCTTTTATTGCCATCACCTAGGTCTACTGAACAACTAGTTGTATCAAGCGCTATCTTTATTTTTACAAGAATGTTTAGCTAAGCTCTTATCATTTTAAAATTCCTGCTGAACTCAGCTGGCCAAAGACCAACACCAGAAAGAACCAATCATTTTCCCCTAAAAGCAATTATAATAAGGTAATTAATCAACCCTTGACTGAGGGAGTCCGGCAGTTCAGCTCGCTCCCTGAGCTCTAGCTATCTGATTAGATTTGAAACCATCTTCAAACTCACAGAGCTGGGACAAAAGAAAAGAACAAATTGTTTTTAAAGCTAGAAAAGTGTATGTAGAACTTGCAAAAAACATCTGAAAAGGATACACACTACAGTAAGAAAAAAAAAAGAGTAGTTCATCTCTTCACTCATTCTATTTCATTTGAATACCTTCATCTCTAGTAGTAAGGTAGCATGCACAGGAAGTAGAACTTACCATCTACCCGAAGTGTGATATTATCAGTGCAAATAAATGAAAATATATTAATTGGTCTGGTCAATTAGGGTACTCAATTATAAAACAACTTAATGAAAATATTCCGATCTTTTTGTTTGTCTTGGATTTTTTTTTTGGGGGGGAACCACACCCAATGGTGCTCAAGGGTAGCTCCTAGCTCTGCAATCAGAAATTACTCCTGGTCGTGTTCAGGGGACCACATGGGGTGCCAGGGATCGAACCCAGGTCAGCTGCACGGAAGGGGAAAACCATTCTACCCGCTGCACTATCACTCGGGCCTAATATTCATATCTTAAGAAATCTTTCTGAACTAAGAGGAATGCTGTTCAAGTTTCCTAACAACGTGGTCAAGTCTAGCGATGAGTCACTGCTGCCACAGTCAGGATCATTGAGAAAATCACTGGGACGAACCGGGATCAACTGCATGCAAGGCAAGTGCCTAACCCACTGAACTGTCTCTCCAGCCCCAAACCCGTGATCCTTAAGCAAGGGTGGTTTCCTGTCTGAAGCTGCGCCTCTACCCCAGCCCCCACCCCCTGGATATGTGGCACCGTAGCACTGTCCTCCCGTTGTTCATCGATTTGCTCGGGCGGGCAACAGTAACGTCTCACAACAAATTGTGAGACTTGTGGTTACTGTTTTTGGCATACAGAATATGTCACGGGGAGCTTGCCAGGCTTTGCCGTGCAGGCGAAATCCTCTTGGTAGCTTGCCGGGCTCTCCGAGAGGGGTGGAGGAATCGAACCTGGGTCAGCCGCGTGCAAGGCAGGCACCCTACCCGCTGTGCTATCGCTCCAGCCCGGATATGTGGCAATGTCTGGAAACAGCTTTTGGTTGTCACAACTGGTGGGGGCAGAGGGAAGTGTCGACATCTGAAGCTACTGGACATCCTTCAATGTACAGGACAGTGTCTCAAAACAAAACAAAGCCTTCGCCTTTAAAATGTTAATGGAGCTGAAGAAACTCTGATTAAAAAAATATAGTTATAGTGATGATTAATTAGATGTGTGACGTTATGCAAGTGACTTATCCTTGCTGAGCCTTATAAATGGAGATAACCGAATACGGCCGGTGTCCAGATTGAGTACAGAATACACTTAACAGGCTGAGCACAGTGTGACATGCAGTTAGCGTCCTAACAATCTTCTGTCTTCTCTCTTGGAGGTCTAAACCCAGGATGTATGTTTCTGGCACATATTAAGTTCTTAAGAAATCTTAAGAAATCTTTCTGAACTAAGAGGAATGCTGTTCAAGTTTCCTAACAACGTGGTCAAGTCTAGTGATGAGTCACTGCTGCCACAGTCAGGATCATTGAGAAAATCACTGGGACGAACCGGGATCAACTGCATGATCCCAGGAAAGGTTTTGTGACCCCAAATCCTGAAAGAAATCACTAGGGAATGACAACCCTATGTACTGTGTTTGGGGCCATCTCCAGCTGCATTCAGGGATCGCTCCTACCGGAACTTGGGGGGCTAAGTAGGGTGCTAGGGTCAAGCCCAGGATGGCTACGCGCAAGGCAAGTACCCTAACTGCTATGCTAACTGCTCCAAGTCCACCAAAAACTATATTTTTGTATAAAAGTTCTTTTCTTGTCAGGCAAATTAACCTATCTTGGCAAAGCTATACCTAGTTTGGAATTAAATTAAGAAACACAAAGTAACAGAACAATAAAGCCTCGAGGCAAAGAGGAGGAGTCTGCTAAAATTAAGGAGACTTTTTCAAATCCACTTTGTATTCTCTGCCCAAGTTGGAAATCGGTGTTAGAGTGAGGCAACTGACTAGATTTTCCTGTCTTGGGAAAACATATATTCTTTACGTAAATTTTCCCAGGCCCATTTCACTACGTGGAAATAAACAGAACTATTCCACCGTGTTCCTGCATTCATCTTAGGAATCTTTCTTCTCCAGAGTGGTCCTATGAAATTCTTCACAAGTTAGAAAAGAAGATCATTTCACAATGGAATATTTATGACAGGCGACATTTCTCACAAGTTTTACACGTGCACAGGTTTTTATTTTGTAAAACAAAGAAAAAATGTCACTTCACATGACTTGCAACTTCATAATGTATGTCACTATGGTCCTAAACGTGATGAAAAATTATTTTCCAGAGCAAATCTAAAAAGGCATATACAACCAGACAGAAACCTTAGTATTGAGGACCCTGCTAGACCTTACATGCTATTTCCTCTGGGACGACGTTCCTCATCTCCTCCAGTTTCGACACCCGTTCCAAGTAAGCTTCTTCCCTACTATTATCCTACATTAGCTAAGCCTGTGCGCAGCCTTCTATTAAACTGCAAGCTCCAGAAAAGTAGGAACCGTGTTCTCTAGCCCCTGGCACTGGTGCCACGTTAACACAGGATACACTCTGTGTTTTTCGACCCGGGGAAAGTCCCAGGGGGGAAAAAACGTAACTCATCTTAAAGATTTGCATTTCCCCCCACCCCCAAGCCCCTTAGCTTTGATAAGAAAGTAAAACAAAACCGCCTACTTTTCAGAAATCCTATAAAATTCCATCTCCCTCGGTAGAAATCGGCGTTCGGGAGAGGAGGTTCCTTTGCGACTGCCTGCGAGGCACGAAGCTGCTTCCCTGTACGCTCCGGGGAGCTGCTTCTAAATCACTGCGTTTTTGCAGATGCGTGAGCATCGCGGGGAGGGGGGGCGGGGGAGAGCAAGGGCTGCTGCTGCTGCTGCTGCAGGAGCTCCGGGGACCTCCGTGGTGCCGGGGACTCGCCGCCCCGAGGATCGGGAAGAGTCCGTGAGCGGAACTGACCAAGCGACATCGCGACATCGCAGGGCGCTGCAGGGCAATGGCGGGTCAGAGTCACTGCAAACTGTCAGGCATCGGGGGCGAGGGGGGAGCTGGGCGCCAGCTGGGGAGAGGGGGCCGGGCCGAGCCCCAGACAGGCGCCTCGGAGGCGGCGCCCCTCGCCCCCCGGGCCGGCGTCGGCGTCGGCAGGCGACGCCCGCGGGTCCCGGGGGGCGCGACGCTCACCTGTTCGTCCTCCTGCATGGAGGCGGCGAGCGGGAGCCCGTCCGCCACGCGGGCGATCATCGTGAGCAGCACCATCGTCTCGGCGTCCCGGACCCCCGCCCGCGGCCCCGCGTCGCCCGCCGCCCTCCGCCGCCGCTGCAGTTACGCCGCCTCCTCCGCCCCGGGGCCGGCCCCGGCGTCGCCGCTTCCCGCTGAGGTGGCCGGAAACGGGCTCGGGCGCGCGCACTTCCGGCCCCGCCGCCCGCCGCCCGCCGGAAACGCGACCGTCGGAGCAGCGTTCCGGGCGCCGTCCTGTCCGTCCTAGGAAACTGCAAGCTCCCTGAGTCCTAGGAAACTGCAAGCTCGCCCTGACTCCTCCTCCGGCCGCTGCCAGGCCCCGCCCCTTTTCCTGCATTCGAAAAGGACGGGGCAGAGTAACTGCAAACTGTGGGTGGGTGGGGCCTGGCGCGCAGCTGAAACAGAATTTATCAGGGCCAGATCCTTCGAGTGTGGGGGAAAGGTCGGGAAAAGGGGTGCGGTTTATGTGGGAAAAATGGAAAGCTGGGATGGAGAGCTTTTCCTTTAATTTGTCCATCTAGATATGAGGTTTTCGATGTTTGTGTATTTCTGGGCAGAGAGTCATGTGTTTCTCTTGCTTTAATGGACCGGATTCCCAGAGGCTTGAACAGCTTCTAGTAATAGCACTGTAGCACGGTCCTCCCGTTGCTCATCGATTTACTGGAGCGGGCCCAGTCAGGGCTCTATCATGAAACTTCTTGTTACTGTGTTTGGCATATTGAATACCTCACGGGGAGCTGACCAGGCTTTGCCTGCGGGCAGGATACTCTCGGTAGCTGGCCGAGCTCTCTGAGAGGGGACGGAGGAATCGAACCCGGCTCGGCCGGGCCGGCTGCGCACAAGGCCCTACCGCTGTGCTATCATTCCCGCTCCAATAGTAATGATAATAACAATATTGATGATGATGATGATGATCACGATCATGATCACAACCATCGTGTTGTTCGTCGATTGCCTCGAGCAGGCCCCAGTAACGTCTTCTTCGTCCTAGCCCTGAGATTTTTAAAAAGTGCCACATTCAAGGCTCTTTCAGGCTTAGGAGAATGAGACCCATCATTGTTACTGGTATTTGGCATATTGGGTACACCACGGGGCGTTTGCCAGACTTTGCCATGTGGGCAGGTTACATTTGGTAGCCTGCCGGTTTGTCCAAAGTAAGGATGAGATAATAAGATGTCGCACGGCCGTGAATGCCGTGAATGATGATGATGATGTTTCTGTGAATTAAAGTCCAAGCACAGACCTCAAAAATCAGGCAAGTCAGTTAGCTGTCCAGATGATGCGATCTTTGCTGTTGTAATTCTAATAAGTAGAAGGGTGTTCTTGCTAGAACTTGCACTGGTTGCATTCACTAGGTTGGACAGACTTCTTGACCAGTTTCTCCATCTTTTTCCAACCGTGGCCCTCTGTACACTTTTGTTTCTTTCCTCTGCCTTCCCTGACTCCCCCAGTCATCCTCCAGAAATGACCCCATTGTTGCTTGTGAAATATTCTGGAGGGACGGGGAAGGGACCGGTGGGAGCGGCAGTGAACAGTCCCCATTTTAGAAACGCTGGTCTTGACAATTCCCCTTAAGTATTACCAGGCCTCTTTGAAGTGTCTATCTCTGAAATGGAAATTATATGCCTTTCGGTATTTTTGTGAATATTAGATGAGAAAATACAGGTGCATGAGTTTTTATAAACTAAAGTTATACATATTAATTTATTGTATTCACAACAATCACTATTAAGGGCTGATAGTTGGTGTTTGCATTAACAGAAACCCTTCTAGCAGCTAGTTGTGATGTACACAAGTAGACAGGGAAGGGCCCCCGTGGCAATAGAGTTCCTAGGATATAATGAAACCAGCAGCCGAAAGCTACTGCAAAGAGCCCACCTTGTGAGCTCAGGCCTGATAAGGCTTTCGCCTAGCAACAGACCCTTCTTGAGAGATACTCTGGCAGGAACAAGAGGCCAGGAAAGGAATTTCAAAGAAGGCCATCATGCACTCCCAACTCAATCACCTGAGCAAAAGACCTTGACCTAGGTAGAAGCCCCACCTGGGGCAGGCTGGGAGAACCCTATGAAAACTACCTTGAACAAAGGAAGGGGGCGCATATGCTGACCCATGTCCTGTTTTTGCCCATGTGGCCAAGCACACTTGTCGCCCACATCTCCTCACTTGAGATGTGTACTTTCATGCTTTTCTGTCTAATGCTAGGATGTGTGTAGGGGTTCTCTCTCTTCATCCTTGGAGAAGCCTGTGTTCTCTCTTGAGTACGTTACTGTTTCTCTCTCTCTCTCTCTCTCTCTCTCTCTCTCTCTCTCTCTCTCTCTCTCTCACTTTCTATCCCTCCCTTCCCTTCCTAAAATCCTCCAAATAAAATCTGTTCTACTTCACTGCTCGGCTACTCCTGAAGTTCTTTCCTTGAGAAAGACAAAGAACCTATAAACCCTGTAAACCCTGGGTAAGGCCTCTGACTCACTTTCCAGACTTCACCAGTCCTAATCTTCCAGCCCCTCTCAGGGTGGCAGAGGGGGGACTGTCACTCTTCTCTCCACCATCCGTGGGGGCTACTGACTTCATATGGACACTCGTTGTTTAAATAAGAGAATAAGGATGTGGAACTTTAGGCCTACAAGTGTGATTTTTCCCCCCAAGTTTCAATAGCTAATATTTATGGGAATGAAATCTGACCTCAGATATGACAACAAAAAGGACTGTCTTGAAGTTAAACTATAGTCTAAAAAAATATCATGCCTTTGTTACCTTTGCTAGTTACCTACAGCTCTCAGAAGAAAATTGATACTGATTTTTGAGAGGTGTTTGGGAGAACGACATAATAAGACTTAGTAATAAATTCTATACAAGGGATCACAGTCATGGTTCTCCCGTTGTTCATCGATTTGCTCGAGCAGGCCTAGTAAGTTCTCCATCGTGAAACTGTTAGTGTGTTTGGCATATGGAATATATGTCACGGGGCGCTTGCCAGGCTTTGCCGAGCGGGCAAGATATTCTCAGTAGCTTGCCGGGCTCTCCGAGAAGGGCGGAGGAATCGAACCCGGCTCGGCCGGGCCGGCTGCACGCAAGGCAAACGCCCTACCCGCTGTGCTATCGCTCCAGCCCACACAAGGGATAATGGATTGAAATATGGAAACTGATGAGACTATTAGTAGAAACAGTGAGAAAATGGAGTGAAGGTAATTCTTATGAATAGGAGCACTTAAACTAGTAAAATAAAATCTTAAATTAGGCTCTGTTGACATATATATGTATATGCATAAAACTTTACTATTAATCCCACTTAAATGAGTCTAGATATAACTTAATTACCATTATTCCCACTCTACAATGTGCTTTCTATGAGAGTCTCAAATGATGGTCCTTCATAATTAGGATCATAACTCACACAATTCAACCCAGGGTACTGCTGATTGGTGGATCAGAGAAGCAGGAAGAAAGGATGGAATCGTTAAGAACAGAGATTTGGGGCAAGAGCAGCAGCCTCTGCCTTTACGTTGTTTCAAGCCCTTAAATAGTCCTGTTCATTCACAGATTCTAAGATTCTGTTCTTTCTTTTCCTCCCTCAGTTCCTATTGCCGACATCTGCCACCCCTAAGCAGAGGGCTGAGTTACTTTGAAGGAACTCCTTCTTGCAACAACATTCATACTCGGATCTCTGACTTCTTTTTCTTCTTAGACACACTTGATTTACACACCTTTCAGAGGTACTGAAATTATTGCTCCAGGGAGAATCCTGGAGTATCAGAGAGCTGTCAAAACATTCTTAAGCTTATAAAAGTTGGATAAAACATATATCTACATATACTCAATTGTGCTGCTAAAACAGGATGAAATTTTTCCCTAAACAGTGTCAAAAGTCTAGTTTTTACAAGTGGGTTCAAAAGAAGTGTTAGAAGCTTGTATCCATTTATTTTTTAGACTTTTTTGTTTGTTTGTTTGTTTGGGGTCACACCCAGCGATGCTCAGAGGTTACTCCTGGCTCTGCACTCAGGAATTGCTCCTGGCAGTGCTTGGGTAACCAGATGGGATGCCGGGGATTGAACCCGCGTCGGCCTTGTGTAAGGCAACCGCCCTACCCACTGTATATTTATTTATTTATTTATTTATTTATTTATCTATTTATTTTTATTGCTCGAGCGGGCCCAGTAACGTCTCCATTGGAGACTTTGTTGTTACTGTGTTTTTATTGATTCACTGTGAGGTACAGTAACAAAGCTTTCATGTTTGAGCTTCAATCGTACAGTCATCAAACTCCCATTCCTTCACCAGTGCATGTTTTCCACCACTAAAATCCCCAATATCTCCTCCCCCCATTTCACACCTCCCCCTGCCTGTGTGGCAGACAATTTGCACAATACTCTCTCTATTTTTCACTTTGGTATTTCAAGACCAGTCCTACCACCACTCATACCTATCAAAAAGACAATGCTAAACAATGTGTTTTTATCGCTTTTTATGAATACAATATAATGTGGCACAACTGCAAGAGCAGCCACACGCTCTAGGAATTCTAAAATTTGAATAATTAGGGTCTGAAGGCATATCAAATACTCTCGGTAGCTTGCCGGGCTCTCCGAGAGGGGCGGAGGAATCGAACTCGGGTCGGCCATGTTGGCTGCGTGCAAGGCAAACGCCCTACCCGCTGTGCTATCGCTCCAGACACAGTAACAACAAAAGTCTCCAATGGAGACGTTACTGGGCCCGCTCGAGCAAATCGATGATCAACGGGAGGGCCTTTACCTTTTACCTTAGGGTCTGAAGAGATCTCTGCAGCAAGTTGCTCGGGTCCGAGATTCATTTGTGTGTCTCTGGATCATGGCTGTGTGGGAGCCTAAGTAGACAGTGGCCGGATGTGGCATCATCTTGGAGTCCCACTGGGGAAGGGGGAAGGAGGAGTGCCCACTCCTCCCCTGTCCCGTGAGGCCCAGCGTCTGTCACCACTGCCACTCGTACCTGGAGCTTGTTGCTGACTTCTAGAAAATGGCAGCCACCGGGGCTCTTAGGGGGCAGGCTGAGGGACAGCACCTGTCCCTGTCCCTTGACCGATAGTACAGTGGGTAGGGTGTTT